ACAAAAGATGCAGAAAAATTTGATAAAGTATGCAAAAAGATTTGGTAAAAGATGCCAAAGGATTTGACAAAAGATGCAGAAAATTTTGACAAAAGATGCAGAAATCTTTTACAAACGATGCAGAAAATTTTGAAAATGACGCAGAAAGTTTGGACAAAAAATGCAAAAAGAATTGAAAAAAAATGCAGCAAGATTAGACAAAAAGATGCTGTAAATTTGAACAAAAGATGCAGAAATATTTGACAAAAGATGCAAAAGGATTTGACGAAAGATGCAAAAGGATTTGACAAAAGATGCAAAAGAATTTGACAAAATATGCAAAAAGATTTGACAAAAGATGCAAAAGGATTTGAAAAATGATGCAAGAGGATTTGACAAAAAATGCAGAAAATTTTGAAAACAACACAGAAAGTTCGACAAAATATGCAAAAAGATTTGACAAAAGATGCAAAAGGTTTTGACAAAAATGCATAAAATTTTGAAAATGATGCTGAAAGTTTGACAAAATATGCAAAAAACTTTGGCAAAAGATGCAAAATATTTGATAAAAATGCAAAAAGATTTCACAAAAGATGCAGAAAGTTTTGACAAAAGATACAGAAAGATTTGACAAATGACACAGAAAGATTTAATAAAAGATGCAAAATGATTTGACAAAAGATGCGGAAAATTTTAAAAATAACGCAGAAAGTGTTGACAAAAAATGCAGGAAGATTTGACAAAAGATACAGAAAATTTTGACAAAAGATGCAGAAAACTTTTACAAACGATGCAGAAAAATTTGATAAAATATGCGAAAAAAATTGACAAAAAATGCAAAAGGATTTGACAAAAGATGCAAAAAAATTTGACAAAAGATGCAAAAGGATTTGACAAAAGATGCAGAAAATTTTGAAAATGACGCAGAAAGTTTGGACAAAAAATGCAAAAAGAATTTAAAAAAATGCAGCAAGATTAGACAAAAAGATGCTATAAATTTGAACAAAAGATGCAGAAATATTTGACAAAAGATGCAAAAGGATTTGACAAAAGATGCAAAAGGATTTGACAAAAGATGCAAAAGGATTTGACAAAAGATGCAAAAGAATTTGACAAAAGATGCAAAAGGATTTGATAAAAGATTAATAAAATTTTAAAAATGACGCAGAAATCCATGAGCAATAAATAATACAAAAAAGTCATCAACTCAGCTCGCACACACATAAAATCACATGTTACTGACGACGACGATGATGATGACTGTGAATTTTCAAGGTCGAAATGATTAAAAAGTTTATGAGATCGTTTTATAGCAACCGACAACAACAACAACAACAAGAACCGACGAGTGTGCGAATGAGGCAGACAGGGAAGCAAAGTAGAAAAAAAAAGATTGAATGAATCAGCTGACATTTTGCGAAGTGATTTTGGTTCTTGAACATTTTTTCCCGTCATTTCTGGTTTCTCAATTACCAAAAAAAAAAGCGGAAATTTTAAAATGATTAGCAATGTGAGTTGCTGCAAATGTTCACAATATTTATTTTCGCGACTGAATTGATAAAAAAAAATATTTGAGCGATAAAATGTTGGAATTGGCTTTGGAGTGTGACTTGATATTCTACGAAAAAAATAAATATTCAAGGTCAAAAAATATTGAGACGGCGATAATATTTGCTAAAAATATTTTTTGTGCTGTTTTTAAGGATTGTTCTGGAATGTTTATTATTTCGGGGTAGGCGATAAGTTTTTTTTTTATTTTTGTTTAAGCTATTTTTAAATTTAAATTTTGTGATTTATTACATTTTTTTGCAAAATTTAAACTCAAAATTTTAAAAGAGATTTTTAAATTCAAATAATTAATTTATTTTATAATTTTAAATTTTCTGCACCTTTTTATTACTTTTCTGCATCCTTTTTTTAAATTTTCTTTTTCTTTTGTCAAAATTTTCTGCATCTTTCTTTTTAATTATCTGCATCCTTTTTTTTAAATTTGCTTTTTTTTTTGCATCTTGTGCCAAAATTTGCTGCATCTTCTATCAAAATTTGGCTTTTGTGTCAAATTTTTCTGCATCTTTTAACAATTTTTTTGGCTTTTTTTAAAATAATTTAAACAAATTGAAATTTTGAGGTTAAAATTCTGAAAATTAAAAATTCCTGAAACAAAAATTGATCCTGAAGATTTAATAAATTATTAAAAACAAATAAAATTATTTTTTTATTAAATTAATTTTCACGTTTTATTGATTTTTTTTTTGTAATTTCATTTTTTTTCTCAAATAATTTTTTTCTTCTTGAGTTTTTTTTATGAATGATTTTTTCTTTCTTAAAAGCTAATTAATGTTTCTTATTTCACAAAAAAATGTTGTTTTGGATTTTCTTAAATTATTTAATAATTATTATTTTTAAATTTTACTTTTTTTCTCCTTAAAATCATTTTTGACCTGCAGTTTTTCATTTTTTTATTTCTTTTTTATTTTTACACAATTGTCACTGAAAATGATGATTTTTCTTACAAATATTTAAATTTAAAATTTCTTATTGTTATTTTTTTTTTAAATTTAAATTTCTATTTTCTAAACTTAACTTCACATTTTTTGAATTAATAATTTAAAATGTTCAAAATTTTTACAATTTACAATTTTTTACCCAAAAGGTTTTTTAAATTTTGCATAATAAATGCGACTTTTTTAAATCTTTTTTCACAAAAAAAATTTCTTAAAATTGTGGCTTTTTAAAAATAAATTTTTTATTTCACTTAACCTTAAACTTTAAATATCTCAATGAATTCCTTAAAATATTTTTAATTATATTGATTCATTCTTATTTATTGCAAAAAAAAGTTTAATTAAGGTTTGTAAAAAAATTTCACATTTTTGCATTTCTAAGATTTAAATTATTAGCAATTAGCCCGGGAAGTTGACATGATTAATAAAGTTACAAAATTTTCTCATTCAAGTGGTTTTTTGATGCAAAAAAACGTTAAAAAATAGTTTTTTAAAAAATTTTCAAAAAAGATAAAAAGATTTTGTGAACTTCCATGCTGGAGTAGATTTACCTTTACAAAAATTAGTTTTCTATTGTTTTGAGAATTTTTGAAACTAGGTAGTTAAGTTCAAAACCTCAAAAATCCAAAAAAAAAACTCAAAACAAGAAGTTCACAAAATAAATTTAAAAATTTAAAGAAAAGCTTTTGATACAACTTTAGAAATTAAAAAGTTCATATAATAATTTATTTACAATTATTTTAAAATAAGATATAAAATTTTTTGGTCAAGAAAATTTCAAATTTTCAAAATTAAATTCTCAAAAGAGGAAATTTAGTTCCTTTAGGCAACGAATAAATGAGCAAGAGTTTTAAAAATTAAAAAATTAAATAGATGTGTTTTAAATTATAAAGTTAAAAATAATTAAATAAAAATTTGAATTTTCTTCCTAATTTTTAATATTGCATGAATTTGTTTTTTAAATTATATTTTTTTTGTAGATTCTACAAAACTAAGGAAATTAGGTTTGGGTTTCTTTAGATGGTTTTGTTAATTTTGACAATTTCTAACGTAACCTCAAAATTCAAAACCAACCTCATTTAATCATAAAAGAAGCTAAAAAGCACCAGAAAAGCATCGTCTTTGTATCAAAGCTTCGGAATCTTTTAAAAAGTCTCCCAAAAATTAGTTTTAATTTTTTTATTTAAATAATGAATCAAGATAATTTTTCATACTGGTTTTGTAAGTTCTTATTCTGGGATTGAAAGAAAGCTGCGAAAAATATGAAATTGTTGGTTATTTACAAAGTTTGGGTCAGATTTTTGAGTTTTTTGTTTCAGCTGACAGCATAACCACAAATCTGACAGCATAGATTATAAATTATTTAAAACTTTTACAGATGACTACTGACAATAAATGTACTGCTCATGTTCAGTGACTTAAGATTTATCTGACAGCCTATAGGCCTTTATTTTAATAATATCTGTTTAACGGCTGACAGCACGACTGACAGCATAATTTAATTTTTTTATAGAATAACTTTACTTTCAGTTTATTTAGTCTTTGATCGTGTTAGGATTCAGGAAATGTAACTTCTGCGCTGTTGGAAAATTTTCAAAACTTCCAAGCTGAAGACTTAAATTTTTTTAAAATTTTTTCCTTTTAAATTCAATTCAGTTGGAATTTTTTTTTGACTTATAATTTAATTATTTTGATGATAATGGATAGTAATAATAAATTTTTAATTATATTGTAATGTGTATTGTTTTGTGGTTTTTTCATCAATCCTTATCGTCCTAATTATTTTTCACTTAATTAATGCAAAAAAAAGAAACTGCTTCAAAAATGATTAATTATTGCATCAATGCGATCTTTTTTTTTATAAAATTTACATGACATTTATAATTATTATTTTTTTTTTATATATTTAACATTTATTTTACGAGATCTCTTTTCAAACTTCCACGTTGTGTCCATTAAAACCTTCTTTTAGAGAGGAATGGAAGTTTACATAATTTTTTTGATGTCACTTGTTTGAAGACTCACAGCACTGACAGCATTTTTAGCAATCATGTTTGGTAACAAACCTTTATAAATCTGACAGCATCACATGTCTAGGTTCTCAACTGACAGCATTCGATGTCTATTTACACTGCTGATAGCATTTTGATAGGCCATAGATCGACCGGAATCTGAATCGTTGCTCTATGAGCGTCTGATGAATTTTGAGGGAACTTGTTAAACTTTCAACTTGGATCTTAACTGACAGCATTGAAGATTGACAGCAAATAACTTTTTAATTAATTTTATACTCGACTAGTGAGATCGATGAGCAGCCAAATATTTACAGATTTTGACAGCATATTGTACATTAATTGGATATCGATATGGTAGCGCAGTTGACAGCATAAGTTGTTGGACTGACAGCATCAACTACCACAACTGACAGCATAATACTAGTTGACTTAATATTCATATATTTTGAAAGTTTAACCTCAAATATCTTAATTCACTTCCATCACTTCCATCCAGTTCACCTTACGCCTCAACCATGATTTTTGTGTCAGCATCGCCATTAACACTGACACTTCCTCCATTTCCAATGACAATTGTCGTCGTTTGCGCTGTCTTTTTGGATAAATTCAATGGTGCACCTTCCATACTATCAACCATTGGTGCTGATGAAATGTGAACCTTAGCTGTACTCTTAATAACACCACCTTGATCAATGAATCGATTCAAAAGCTCTTGATTCTTTCGATGTTCCTCACTCATTTTTGGTGCCATCTTAAGACGATCGACAAGATTCGAATGAGTCATTGCCAAATGTCCATTATTGCGTGGTGCTGTAAGGATTGTCTGCAGTTGACTTGGCTCATTGTGATGAATCATAATTGGCGGTGATCCACCATCGCTACCTTGTGGACATCGTCTAAACTTCTTATGGTACATGTTTGGATCAAAAATTGCGGGTTTTTCGAGAGCACGTTTTAATGTTGGCAGTGACTCGGCCAACGATTGTGTCATGACTGGAACATCTTCGAGTGAGCTTCGTGGTGACGAGCACGACGATGAACCGGATCCAATTTTTGATCCATTTATACAACCACCATCACTTCCACTTTCAATGCCTGAGTCTGTTGGACTATCGAGTTTCCTCGTGACTGTCTGTACAACGGTTGTCTGTCCACCTTGTGTCATTGGACGTGTTACAGCTGTGATTGTTGTACCAGCTGGAATATTTGGATGTGACAGCTGTTGTTGTGATGTTGGCGATTCCGTTGAGCTTCGATGTTGAATGATTTTTCGCTGTTGTTGCTGCTGTGCTTGATATCCCATCGGACATCCTTGGAGCTTTGCGAGCAAAATTGGTGATTGTTTGGCGGGACACATTTGCATTTGAGGTGGTGGCGGTGATGGTTCACTGCTTGTGATTGTTGACATGCTACCGTCACTTGACTGCGCATCCATGATACGTGGACACATACGGATTTGTGGCTGGTGATGAGGCGATGGTGATTGTTGATAAGGGTGACCATTTAATGGTGGGGATGTGGTGCTGTTGAGTGTTTGTTGCTGTGTGAGTGGCTTTTGTAGCTACAAGAATGAAAAGGAAAATTTAAAATTATTAATCTTGTTTTTTAACGGTTTTATAAAATTCAAATTTTTAACGGTTTTATAAAATTTGAATTTTTAAATTTTTATTTCAAAATTGAAGACTTAAGAACTATTTAGAAACTTACCGTCGACACATCAGTGACTTGAATCTGCTGCTCAAGTCCATTTGACATTTGTTGATTCATCTCATTACGGAATACAACAAGCTTCTCAGTATGGAGGGTCGAGAGCGTCTTAAGATCGCCAATTGTGTTCATCAAGTTGCCCATAAATTCAGGCTCATTTGGACGTCCCTTAACAATAACATGCTGTAAGCACTGCTTCAATTTCGCATGCATTCGCTGTATCAGCTCATAATTACGAATTCCATGACGATCAGGTGCAATAAGCACAACAGCACAGAAAAGTGCAACTTCAGCATCATTCAACTGCATTGCATTGATTCTCTCGGCAAACTTGAACGTTGAGTCGACTAAAAATCTTGCATTTGCACCATTCTGAATTGAGTCGCGTCTCATAAGTTGACCATTTAGGCATACAATGCTGTCGAGTGATGTGTCAAACATGCCAATGAGGCGTACAAAAAGAGCGTCAAAGAGACCAGCCTTGAGCAATGTAAACTTATCACCTTGCGCGAGTAATTCAAAGCCAGGAATTTTACCGGCAAATTCAATCACGCCACGAATGACGTCAGCAAATCGTTGAGAGAATTCCTGCTCGGATTGGATTTCTGGTGCAGGATTTAGTGGGCAAGCCTGTGAATTTAAGAGAGAGAATTTAGGATTATTAGATAAAATTATATGTTTTTTTTAAGGTTAGGTTTTGGATGAATTGCCTTTGTTGGAAGGTTTTTGGTGACGAAAAATTAAAATTTTTGTCTTCTCGGAAGTAAAATTCTGTCATCTCAGAGTAATTTTCGATCCTCTCGGGTCGAGAAAAATTTGATCCTCTCGGATCGACTAAGATTTGATCCTCTCAGGTCGAACAAGATTAGATCCTCTCGGGTCGAGCAAAATTTGATCCTCTCGGGTCGAGCAAAATTTGTTCCTGTCAGAACAAATTTTTATGACCTAGTTTTAAACTATTACGACACAATAGCGACGATAAGAACAAAAGACAGCAATTATTTTTTTTATTTTTAAAAATCGTGTCTTTTTAAATTAATAGAAGAATAATTTCCCAATAATTAGTGGTACACATTCACAATTTATAGAGTGTCACTCGTCGTGACTTTAAGAAAATTAGAAAAAAAAATTGTAAAAAAATTTCCTCACACTCCCGTTTCTGTGAATGAAATTACGACGAAAACAAGGCACAATGAGAAGTACTTTTCAAGTTCAAGTTCACTGCAACCTTCGAATGACCGCAAGAGCTCACAACTACAAACATCTACGACTATGTACAACAGAATGTGAGAGATGGAGAATGAAAATTTTGTTGTCCTTAACCCATCACCTCGACATATTCGCGCGCTCTTTTCCTCATCTGAGTTATTGTCGCCTGATGTCATCCTCGTCTCGATGATTTTTTGCTTCTATTTTTAAGTCGTTTTTAGTTTCTTCTTCCTCATTTCGCGACATATATAAAATGATATGCGACCTTGACTTTTTTTTTTAAGTTCTAGCTTTAGATGTGTAGTAGTTCTGTGAATTGAGGATGGGGAATATGTGGATTGAGTCATCGTTCTGGTTTTGTGGTTGAATTTTTTCATGATTATTTAATTTACTGACTGTGGATAGAATAGTGTCTAAAATGAATTTATTCTGGCTCGACCCAAGATGACAGAATTCTTAGCTCGACCCGAGATGACAAAATTCTTAGCTCGGCCCAAAATGGCAGAATTCTTAACTTGACCCGAGATGACAGAATTCTTAGCTCGAACTGAGATGATAGAATTCTTAGCTAGACCCGAAATGACTGAATTTTAAGCTCGACCCGAGATTACCGAATTTCCAACCCGAGATGACGAAATCCAAATCTAAAGCACTTCCTCATTCACATTCAAATTTCCTATTTCCTCATTCTCCCAGTTCAGTGTATGCAATAAATTTAATATCGCAGTAGAAAATAAAAACTATAAAAAATCACATTCAAGGCACAATAACGATGAAGATCAAGGCCACTAGTATTGCGCCTCTACTCATTGTCATTGCCAGTGTACAGCTTATGACTCTTTTCTCCTTCTTCTTCTAAAAGCCCTCCATTATTTTTTATCGCACACGAGCAACAAATAAACGACAAACGAAAAACAAATTTTCATGAAAATAACAATTTTTGGTGATAAAAAAAAGGCGACACACGAGTTGAGTCCATGTTGACTGTACACTCGCATTTGAAAACTTGCAAAACGCACATATTACATTGTTGCCGCATCGTTATCAGAAGAGTTGAAATCGACACTCAAGGTCAGTTGAAGCCCTCGCACTCGCTTACAGACACAGCCAATCAGCATACAAAAAAAAAATATTTTTTTTGCGACCTTGAACGGCTCACAGCTAACGAAATTCATAAATTCTCGCAAAAAAAATAAAATAAAATTCGTACACGAGCAGATGGAATCGACGACTCATCGCTGAATTATTATCCACAAGGCATGATTGCGATTGTATTTGTGAAGCGGCAATTTTGTTGCCGATTAGCAAGAAAACCGACCGAGTCTATTGACGTCATCATGGCCTTCACAAATCGAAATCGAATTGAGTGATTGTTTAGAATTTTCCTCATTTCTTCTCGCTCGGAATTGTGGAAAAAAAAGTTGCGATTTTTTTTTGTTGTTGTTGATTGACTGACTTAGAAATGATCTAGAACTTGAAATGAGCATTGACGAGAGCTGTTGTGTAATTGCTGATAAGTTTTATGAATGAGGAAGTTGATTAAAATTTTGATGAAGAATTGAGAGTGTAGGGATGCATTTTTGTTGATTTTAAGGATTTTTGAGTTTTGTCATCTCGGTAAAATTGTGTCATCTTGGTAGACATTCTATCATCTCGGAAAGATTAGGTCTGCTCAGTAACTTTATGTCAACTTAGCTAACGGTCATCTTAATTTGAATGAAATTTGATCCCATTTGATCAATTGCATACCCTCAGTAAAATTTCTACCCCTTCAGAACTGAATTCTGTAGTTTCAGACCCCAAATGATCAAAATTTTAAATCAAAACTAAATATCCCCCCCAAAAGACACAAAACACCCAAAAGTAAATCATCAATTCCTAGTCATATGTCCAATAACCTTCAAAACTGTCCCAAACCATCAAAATTTTATCAAATTTCCTTATCATTATCTCAATGTGCTCCAAATTCCACACGAAAACCTAAACCACATGTTCTCAACAATTTACTCAAAAAACAATTTTTATCTCGAAACAACCTTGAAAAATAATTTTTTTTTCAGACAAATTTGAATGACTCACACAAAGCTACTAATTAAATTTTCCTGCTGCTGCTGTTAGAATAACTGCAAACACGGAAATGCCTGAACAAACACGATAAATGTCACGCACACATGCTGACGACCTTGATCTTGAAACAACAGTGTAGAAAGAAGGAACACAAGTCTTGCAGCAAATTCTCGTCTTACAATCGCGTTATCAATTCGCGTCATAATTTATATTTGTGTATTTATAGATCAGCAGCCATTAAAGCTCGACTCGCACAGAAAAAAAAATTGTATTGAGAATCGGAAAAAACTATCGCAAAAATTTTGATAAAATATTATTTTTTTCTCTCCCTCGCTCTCTGACTGCCTGCTTTGAAGGTCATACGAGTTTTTTAATGTATGCTTAATTTTTTGTTTGTTGCTTCTTATTTTTTCGCGGGACTTGTGGATGTGGTTGTGAGAATTTAATATTATTGAGGATTTTTTGAATGACTTAATTTGAGGTTTAATTTTTACTATTTTCATAGAATTTTTTGAAAACTTGATCATCTCGGTTCAAGCTGAATTAGATCCTCTCGGGTCGAGCTGAGTTAAATCCTCTCGGGTCGAGCTAAATTAGATCCTCTCAGGTCGAGCTGAATCAGATCCTCTCAGGTCGAGCTGAGTTGGCTCTTCTCGGATCGAGCTGAGTTAAATCCTCTTGGGTCGAGGTGAATTAAATCCTCTTGAATCGAGTTGAGTTTGATCAAATTGGAACAATTTAAGAAAAGTCAATTCTGATCAAAAAAGACTCAAGCTGTGCCACATGTAGCTACACCAACCCACATCTACAAGTCTGAATACACCAAGCTTGACCTTCCGTCTCACAATCCCGCTAATTTTTCCTCACAATATTCATACTTCCTACAAATTCCCCAATAACGATCAAAACAACAAGTTGTCTTGTCCTTGTTCGCTGTTTATTGCTCTAGATGTCTGACTTCCCCAATTAAATTAGCTTCATTCATAGCAATGCTTATCATTCAAATGAGTCTCCAAAAAAATGTTCAGTGTCATCAAAAATTATTAATTTTCCCTTGACAAAAAAAAAATAGTTAAAAAAGATTCCGGAAAAGTCCCTCACATGAATTTACAAAAAATATTTACAAAATATTGACATGAAATGCAATTCTGTTTCCGCGTTCATTGCTTCACAATCGGTTCTATGTCTCACTCTCATATATAAAAACTAGCTTTAGTTAAATACATAGACATCGCATAGCATGAACGATTAACGTCACATGGCTAACACAAATGAAAGAAAAAAATATATAAAAAAATTATATAGAGCGACGTGTGTACGAATGAGAGAGAGACAGAGAGCAACTTCTGGCTACCCTTGACGATAGCCTTGAGCCTCAAAAATAAACTTCCATATGAATATTTATCAATAATAAAACACTTTTTTTACACAACATAGCTCCATCTCACTCGTCACACATTCGACGACATTGTCGTCACTAGATTATTATTGAATTTGAGTGTGTGTCGTTAGCGTCGTCCTTCAGAAAGTTCAAATTACAACAAAAACAATATTTTTCTACATAATCATGTAGTGAGGAAGAAGTGGCTATAAAATTGAGGTGAGGAAGCGGCTTATGAAGGCAGACGAGACAATGAAATCGGGAAAATTATGTAAATTTTGTGAGACTGAATGACACTGGATTCATAATAGGAATGAGATTTTGGTATTGCTGAGGTTAAAATTTGGATGTTTTATTACTGAGATGACGGAATTTTAATTTTTCCGAGGGGACTGAATTTTCTGCTCAACCCGAGATGACATAATTCTCAGCTCTACCCGAAAGAAACAAATTTTCAGCTCGACCCGAGATGACATAATTCTCAGTTCTAACCGAGATGATCGAATTTTCAACTAAACTGAGAAGACTGAATTGGTTCCACCTAACAGACTCTAACCCAGCAACAGCATATTAGAATCCACAACCTATACAATAGTAAACTCATACACGGAAGCTACAATGCTATTTCATTTATTGCTCCGTTCTATTCGCATGCAACGGCGATGAACTTCAATTCAAGATTCAAACGGTTCTTTTTTTCGCTTCCACATGTTCAATAAGCAGCAGCTGCTGCCGTTTTCATTTCATTTTCTCATTGAACACACGTCTGGAAGTGAGAATCGAATAAAATAAACTTTTTTTCTGAGTCATTGAGGAACAAATATGAATGAGAAATATAAGAAGAAAAAAAAGTGTCGAGGTTCGTCTCGCGAGGTCACGCGCTATGCGTTGCTCTGAAGACTATGAGACGAGAAAAAAAAACCTTCCAACGAGGTTAGAAAAAAAGAGGCAATGTCGTTAAATAAGTTTGAGGTCTTTTAACTTACCCTCGTGGGCTCTGTGTAATTTGGACAGTCTTTTGCACGAAGTTTCATTTCACGGACTCGCTCGCGAGTAAATTCGCATGTCTCCATGTGGGCACCAACGACTGTGTCAATGATGCTCTGTACGTCTTCAATTCCATCAGTCCATACATGCGTTGTGAGTGCTCGATTACGTGTCTGTTGTTGCATTGCAGCTTCGATACGCGCTTTTTCGCGCTTTGGAACGCGACCGAATCGGACGGCTGGAATAAGAATAAAGAAGAGAGATTTTGAGGTTAGAATTTTTTGATTTTAGATATATTTTAGTATGTTTTAGTAGATTTTTGACAGTTTGGACTAGATTCTTGAGATGATGTACTAGATTTTTGAGATAATGAAGTAGATTTTTGTCGCATTGCACTAGATAAAAGAAAAATTTACTAGATTTTTGTCAAAATGAACTAGGTTTTTTACAAAAGTACTAGATTTTTTAAAATGTACTAGAATTCAGAACAACTTTAAAAATAAATCAATTAATCCACCAAAAATTAATGCACTGCCCTTCAAGTCCCATTACTGTCGTAAATTAATCCCATTACCAGTATTCAATAACATAATTCCTGACAATACTATTCACACAAAAAAAAATTACACAGCCCATGAACGCACCTCAAGTGCGGCCTCAATGACACTAAACTCAATTAATCATTGAAATCTCATGGATTAGATCTGAACAAAAAATGTCAACATTTGCCATTTTAGCTGCAAAATTCAGCACTTTCATGATGCTCGACTGTGAACGAGTGCGGCAGACACATAAAGAATATCTGGGGCAAAAGTGAAATTGCTGGCTTTTTCTTCTGTCGGAGTGAAGCCGCGTGAATTGCTTTTGATGCAGCACAAATTTCTCTTTTCACTTTTGTTTTTGTGGGAATTGTATTTAATGTTTTGAAAGAATTTAGGGGATATTTAGAGGGATATTAAGGGATATTAATGGAAGTAAAGGGATATTTTGAGATATTTGAGTAAATTTGTCACAACAATCTCGTAAATTCTCACAAAATTAGGTCAACTCAATTGCTTAACACTCTCAAACTCCCAAGTCACCATAGAAACTTCACCACCCACGCAACTTTTTCTATCCAGAAATTTCTTCCGACTTCCTCCCGTCCCATAACAACAATTTCTAAAAATACAAACAAAAAAAGAGAAAACCAGGACACGCGTACATAAAAAATACAAAATTCCAAGGCTAAAGAAAAAGTCAGTAACACAAAAAAAAAGAAAGAAAGAGAAAAAAGGGAAAGTTTTGAGAGCTCCAGAGCCGCTCTCGATAAGCCACATCCAAGGTCATTCCGCATTCTTCCCTACGCAACCCCAATTTCTGTACTTTTACTTTCCATTTCATGTAGACACACACAGACACATGCGAGGCAGCAGCAAAAACGCAATAATATGAAAATGAAAAAAAAAGCTGCGTTCTATTTTTTTTATGCTGCTTATGTCCTTGAGATTTTTTTTATATATATGATGTGCGTACTGACTTCGTCCTCCAAAATATGTTTTTTCCCCAAGTTGTTGATATGCGTAAATTGTTGTTGTGTGGGTGGCAGAACATGGGTTGAAAGTTCTGCTTTTTTGGGATTGTGATTGTGTTGGTGTGGAGCTGATTTTTTGGGTGAATGAGTTTTGGAAGCAAGTTTAGAGGAATTTGGAAGTGAGTTTGGATGATGTAGAGATATTTGAGAAAATATTTTTTTTTTAAATGTACTAGATTTTTAAAAATTTTTACTAGATTTTTTAAAAGCTGCACTTGATTAAAATCAGACTTCAGATTTATAAATTGTACTAGATTGTTTACATTTTGTACTAGATTGTTTAAATTTTGTACTAGATAATTTACATTTTGTACTAGAATTTCACATTTTGTAGTAGATTGTTCACATTTTGTACGAAACTCCAATAAAATTGTAATAGATTGTTGATCAAATATACTTGATTCTTTAAAATTATTTTCAAACTAATTCAAATTTGACTATTTAATAGTTCCCTATCCAGATATCAGCCTTCAAACCCCATCTCCTACACCAAAAATACCAAACCATCAGCAAACATCCAAGAGTCAAGAGTCTATTCATCCTCCTTATTACCATCAGCAGACACCAACACACTCTAAGCTTTTTTCCTTATTTTTCAACTTTTAATGCTGAGAACATTTTTCCAATCTCATACAAAAATTTCTGAACAGTCCCACGTGTCAAGGCCATGTGCGTGCGTCACCCACTCACACCCCACCATTCAGCTACCGAGAATTGTTTGTCGAAGAATTTACGCACTTTCCACCCTATTTTCAATGCCATCGCCCTCAAATTGCCTTCTTTTTTCTTCTCAATGTGTGTACGCTTGACATTTGTTTGAATGAAACGAGAATCTGTGCTGCTGTGCTGGGTAGCAAGGCTGAATGTTAGGAAATGATTTTTGCGCGGGAAAAAGGGACTTTTTTATCTTTTAAATTGCGAGCAATTTTTTATGTTTCTCTTTTCACTTTCAGAAGTTTTTATAGCTTTTTTTGGGAGTTATGTGATGGTTATCTGGATGGGGATGGAGCGGGTTAGGTGTGGGTTTGAGATGAAGGCAATAAAATGATTGGGAAGATATCCGGGAAATGATGCTGAGTGTGTTGAAATTTCTAGGGACATTTTTTATTACTTTTGTGTGCTTTGAGATTGGTTTAAAAGCTTATGTCGAGAATGATGTAAAATTGGAGCAACTTTATGAGTTTTGTGATGTGGTTTGACTTCCAAGTTTAAAGGTACTTGCTTAAGACTATATTATATTTCTAGGTTACGAAGTTATAGGCTATGTACTAGAATTTTTATATGAAGTACTAGATTCTTATTAAGCAGTATCAACTTTTTATCATAAAGTTCTAGATTTTGTTTAAAACTTTGTACTAGTTTTTTAATTGAAGTACTTGATTATTGAATTGAAGTACTAGATTATTAAATTTAAGGTACGAGATTTATTGAATTGAAGTAAAATTAACAGTTAGGTTTTACCAAGGTTTTACTTTCATTTCAAAAGTAACGCATGTCTAAACATCATCCCACACCATTATCACGCAAGAAGCTCCCCAAAGATACCCAAAAATAACATCATAAAACATCCAATTCCATCATCATAAGAACGTAAATTATTTCCTCGTCCTTGATGCTTTTATGCCTTCTCCGAAACAGAATAATCAAATGTAAAAAAAAACAAGAATTTCGTCTTATGGAACACACACCAAACAAAAATCCATTCAAGGTCAGTTCTTCTTCCTTTCCATCCACAAAATAAGAAAAAATTTCCATTTCAATAAGAAAGTAAAGAAGCTTTTCTTCGCCACATAGATACAGGACAAATGAGAGAGATGAGTGAGAAAAAAAATGTGCGTATGTGGCTGGGGAAGTGATGTCAGGAAGATGAAAAGTACACGCGCGTGGCCTTGAAGTGCCGCAAGCAAATTTATTGATGTTCTGTATTGTGTTTGTTCATTTATCTACGTGTGCCTTCTTGGTAATTCGGATGAAGGAAGCAAGAAAAAAAAACGTTTGAGAAAGATAAAAATAATATAATTGGATGGGTAATGAGTCTTAGGGATGTTGAGGACTGTTTTGTTGAGAAAATGAGGAAACTAGAGAAGGTTGGTTGTTAATGCGACTAGAATGAAGTACTAGATTATTTACTGGTAGTAATAGATTCCTAATTAAATGAAGCATCTAGATTAAAATACTAAATTTTTAACAAAAAGGACTAGATTTTAATGAAAAATTACTAGAATTTTATGAAAAAAAACTAGATTTTTTGGATTAGGTACTAAAACGAAGTAACAGATTTTGAAAGCAGTACTAGATTTTCTCATAACTCAAACCACCAATAATCCATCAATATATCCTTCAATTTCACCATCAACAGTCTTACAATCCCGGAACTGTCCTTCAAAAAATAAATATCATATCAACCAAAAAGCAACAAACGACCGCGACCGCAAAAAAAATCTTAGAGAGCCAATAAACGAGCTTGAAGTAGTCGATTTCCGCAATTGCTAAATTGGATCACCGAAAAAAAAAATCCAAAGAAGAAGAAACTTCTCCGTTGTGTTTGTGAACATTTTTTTTTATCGAACAACGACCGAAAAAAAAATGTTTTTGTGTTCGTGAATCAATTTTTTTTTGTTCTTACTCCGCCTGTGTGCGTGTATATGCGGCAATAAGAATCGAGTATCGTGCGGAGGAGATGGAGATGTCAAGGTTGTGTCCTTCAGTCGACAAAAATTTGTTTTTTCTTCTTACTCGGTTCCGAAGCACACACAAAATAAAATTTGAGAAAAAAAATAATAATTGTGATTCGCGCGCTCATCGGAGAATGTGGAACTATATGGAGTAATTGGTATGATTGTGTGTGGATTATAGACTATTGATGATGGCATGAGTTTAGTGTGTGCAAACAATGATAAAATGTAATTAAATTGTCGCGAAATGCCGCTGATTCAATGACTTTTGAGGGTCGTCGTTTGAGAATTTTTCTGATCGATTGTGGTTTGGTGGGTTTAGTCGGGAGATTTTTTTTTGGGTTGTTTGGAGTTGTTGGGAAAATTTTAAGATTGTTTTGAGATACATTTGATTTTTATGGAGTCTTGAAGATGTTTTACTGGATTTTGTGGCAATTTTTAAAATTTTATTGCGATTTTAATCGATGCTTGACCTTTTAAGAACATCTGAATACTCTGTAGACTCTCTAATAGCTTTACTGAGCCTGCAAAGTGACTATACTCCCAATCAAGACCCTTATGATCTCCAGAAGAGCCCATAGCCTGTCTAAAGGCACCTGTGGTCCTATAAACCATGTTAAAACTCTATCGACTACCCTTTGTCCCCTCAAAAGTGCATTAAGAAACTCAGCGCTGTCTATAGACCCCAATAATTGCCTAAATATCCTCATCTCTGCCTAATGACAATTTCTACTTATAAATGACCCTCCAAAGACCCTCTAGAACCTAAATCTTCCTTAAATAAGCTCATAATCCAATAATAAGGATCGGTAACTTACGATATGTCGCGTTGTCTCTCAAAATTCCACGCAATATAGGCGAATCCTCATTCATCGTATGCGCCACAAACATTCAATTTCACTATACAACCACATATGGTCGATTAAGATTGACTTTTTGAGGATATTTTATGTTTTTTGGTAGAAATTTTTTAAAATATTGTTTTTCTTT